TTCACTTTATTATAATGGTAGGCATACACTCGGACCCGAACATAATTTGGAAGATTGGGAATAGACTATTGCATTTTACGTGAAAAAATTCTTACAACCTTTTTTCGATACTATATAGGAATGTAGCGGTGTTTATTACCCTACATCTTCTCTTGTTTTACAATACTTTTTCTACATTTCACAAGCATTTCATAAATATAAAAATTTGCCACTTTTTGCTGATATAGTCCGCTCTATGGAGTTAAAATTTTGTAAATATTGGGAAGAGTTGCCTTCTTTATTTCTTTTAACTTCAGTAATGGACCCTCGACTTAATTTAACTGGCACAAAAACTACTGTAAATGGGATATCATATTTTTTGAATATAGAATTATCTCACATGCATATAGAATCTTTTTTATGTAAAATGTATAATTATTATGCTGAAAAGGAAGTTCAGCGTAGTTCTACTTCCTAAAGTTCTTTTTCAAGAAATATTTCAACAAATTCCGAAAATTTATGGAATTATTTAGATAGCAATACAAGTGTTCCTTCATTTAGTTCTAGTTCTAACTCATCAACATCTAGAGCGATCAATATTGGTGGTACAAATCTTGAAATTCTTTCTGAGTTAGCTAGGTATATGTGCGTGGATGTTCGTAGTGTGTTGCAACTGAACGAATTACAAGAATTTAGTCTTTTAAATTGGTGGAGATGTAACGAAAGACAATATCCAATTGTATCAAAAATTGCACGTGGTCTACTAACACCTCCGATGCCTACGATAGCATCGAAGGCTGCATTCAGTTTAGGTGGTCGAATTTTATCAGATGAACGATCAAGACTAAAAGAAGATATATTGGAGGTTTTGATATGCTTGAAGGATTGAGAATGTGCAGAATTACGTGTTCAAGAACATGTTGATAGTATAATGGTCGAAGAGTTGCAGCATATCCAAACATAGGATGTTGTAAGTTTTTAAATTGATTATTTTCTTTAAAAAATGTATTTTTTAAATTTATTTGATTCAAGAAAATTGTAAACGAAATATTTTATTCGTGTACAATTTTAACTCCGCTTACGTTGATTATAACCGGTCCCAAGCCCGGTAGAAGGAGGAGAGTTGTAATTTGTAACTTTTATTTATTTTGTTATTCGTATAAATTACATAATTTTGAAAGTTGTACTTTTATTTAATTTGTAATTTGTATAAATAATAAATGATGCAATTTTTAAATTCTTTCAAAAAAATGTCATTAAACAATTTCTTTGCTTTCTACATTAAACAAATTGCACCACAACAATTGACATGTGAAAAAATGTCATTAAAAATTGTAAAAAAAATTAAAATTAAAAAAATCGAGCCAGCTCGGCTCGTAAAAAGCCCGAGCCTTTTTTTTGTCTAGCTTTGGCTCGACTCGGACCCAAAAAAAGCCCGTTACAATTTACTCGAGCCGAGCCAGAGCCGAAATTTTCGGCTCGCGAGCTGGCTCGACTCGACTCGTTTACATTCCTAAACAAGCCCTTTATTTGAGGTGAAGAATTTTATGTACTTCAATGTATAATTAAAGTAGTTGTGTCAAGCTCGAAAGGAATATGAGATATTTTATCCTAAGGTAATTATATCATCACCATAAATTTTAACATTTTTATTATTTACTTAGTGCCTGTCTGTTTTTGCTCCTTCAATGGATTTCAAGCAAAAAATGAGCCGTCGAAGTGGACTGTGGGACCCACACGTGAGAGGTCCAATTGAAAATGATGGTTGTTTTTTATTTCCAATGGGCAAAATATCAAATTTTGGGCTCCAAAAATCCGTCTCAAATAGGTTCTAAACAGCCTTGAGTGAAATTACGTAATTAGCGTTAATATACTTTTGATTAATCACACCACGTTAGCCCCACCACAAACATAAGGGTTGTGTTCGGTGTACATAAATTATGTACACTAAGAGTTTTTCCAAACATAAACACTTACTCTTGACGCCAGAGTGAAACCCATCTGGACATCAGGAAGAGCTGCTTTAAGCTGTCAAGATTGATGAAAAAGAATCAGACTTCCATGATTACTAAACCCTTATTATTAAAAACAGGAAGTTAACTGACCAACAAATCATGAGTAGCAGTTTCACCATCTTTCGTTGAAGGGAATTTACCAAAAAATTCAGGAGAAACTGATAGCAGTGTCCTGCTACTTCCATATCTGGTGAAAAAGAATAAATAGAATTAGATGTCAAAATACATCCACTAATACCTACACAAGTAGTCGAGTGGAAGATAGCATGAATTGTCACTCTTGCCATTGTCGTTGCAAAACAACATATAGTGTTTGACAAATTGAAGTCCCAAATCCCTTTCACATGCACCCGCAAAGTAACTCAGCAATTAGGGGTATTGAGGATATTCGAACAATGATAATAATGATGTATAAAATTGGAAATACTCAGATTAGCCTTGAATTTTGAAGTAGCGACAGCTAGCATTTTGTTGAAACTGGTTTAGTTTTAGGATTCTGGTTTCACCATTAGTTGAAGGATTGAAAAAAATTGGATATGGAAAACTTTGTTAGTTGTAAATTCCAATGGAGGTGAAGAAGTAGCAATCCACCGTTGGATATACCTCTATTTGAAGCTTTCTCCTTTGTTGGAGTAGTGTCCTTCGTTGGGACTATTAAAATAATTGTTTTATTAATACCTTTTATTTTTTAATGATTTTGGCTATCCATCCTGATCTCTCTTGTGATTGGTATGCTTTCCGTTACTATTCAACAATATATGTACGATTCTAACGATGGCAAAGGAGTAAAATTTTTGCAACAAGTAATCTCGACGTGGATGATTAGGATATACTTGTAGAAGACATAATCTGTGAGCTTTGTAATATGATGCATTATACTGGGCAGTGTCTGTATACATGTGTTGATCTCTTTATGTCCAAACTTCTGCGGTTTAAACAATATTTAAAATGTCAAAAATAAGCAATTGACAAAATGATGAATCCTTCATGTTTGAAGGCGAATATGTATCTACACATCCAGACGATGATATCATTCTTAAGGGAATTGGTCTTTCCCTGTTGAACGAGGGGGCGCTTGCAAAATATTATAATGAACTTGCTATGTTAGATGAAAGCAAAAAATACGTATAGAAAATTTCATATTCTATGTTGAATTTATAAGTAGAGATATATTCCACTTGAAAAAGTTGAAAGAAAAGAATTACCATTGCTGCTAAATTTAGATTGTAAACCGACCATTCAACTCGATAGGATATCAGTTATTGAAGAAGAGCATAAAGAAGATGACAAACTAATTATGAAAGAACCAAGCGAAGAAGTGGCAATTAATGATGATGAAATTAACACATTCTTTCGACCTCATCGATTGTTCAACAATTGAATTTGCAATTAAGCTCGAGGAGGGAAATTCTACATAGTTGATTTTCAAATCGAATGGAATATGCAAGTCATATCGCATTAAAAGAGACAAGGTCAAGATTTGGTGAATCAACAAAAGGTTGATTAAAAGCAAAAGAAGCAAACTATCAAAAGCTTTCTTTAGAATTTCAGGATGCAAAATATCAAAGTCAAGCTAATGACTATAAATAAGTGTTTATTCGGGGTAACCCAATTTTCATCTCTTACATTTATTTTTCTTTTTAGATATAAGTTTAGTAATTTTTATTGCTTTTAGTAGTATAGGATATATTTATCCTCATATTTCCCTTTAGGGTGTATTTGAGGTTATTATAAAGCATTCCACATTATCATTGATTTTCTAATTATTTTGAAAGAATGTGACACCTAAACAAATTGGATAAATGATGATACATAGCAAGTGTTCTAGCACTTTCACGCCAATCCATCCATCACCTACAGATTCATACCAAGGGAATACTTAATTATCTTCTTTGCCCTTAATTTTTGTTTATTACTTGTTATATTTTTAGACATTGAGGGTAATGTCTATTGTAAAATTTGGGTTGAAAAATATCAAGTTTTTATCAATTTCTTCCTCAATTTCCATATTCAAACTTCATATCTCCACTCTCACCCGACCGTCAATCTCCACCACCACTCCCAACATCGCCATCGCTACCGAAAATGCCAACTCCTCATCAACTACCCTCTTAATTTACGTCTTCACTATACTTCGAGATAAAAATGCATTTTTCAATTTTTCACAAAAAAAATAAAATAATAAAATAATAATAATAAATTGTTGTGAATGCCTTGCTAGCCGGATCGGCTTGTCTCCCAAGGTGTAAATTGGTAGGGAGAGGACAGCTAGGATTTTCAAAAACAAGTCAATTCACATTCGACTCACCCGTATACAAGTACAAACCCGACGTGCATGGTGGATTGAGCTGAGCCCCTGCCATTTAAAACTCCTTAGGTACTTTATAAAAGATTGGAGTCAATCACTATAATATGGCGTGACAGACATACTATTAAGGAAATGTTTGGAGATTGTACTTGAACTCAATAAGCAAGTACCTTCATAATTTAAATCAGTATTCTCTGAAGTTTGCTTAAGCTTCACCTAGGAACGAAGTTCGACTCTATCGTCTAGACATATTTTATGCCTAGGCTTCGTCTAGACTTTGCATAGGCTCGTTTAGACTCGTAAAATCTTGAAACTTGTATGACATGTAGCCACGCTTTACATTTTTGAAACAGTGATTTAAATAGACATTTAAAACTCCTTTGGTACTTTATAAATGATTGGAGTCAATCATTGTATGGCATGACGGACATACTATTAAGGAAATGTTTGGAGATTGTACTTGAACTCAATAAACAAGTACCTTCATAATTTAAATCGGTATTCTATAAAGTTTGCTTAAGCTTCACCTAGGAATGAAGCTTGACTCGACCGTCTAGTCATATTTTATACCTAGGCTTTCTCTAGACTTTGCATAGACTCGTAAAATTTTGAAACTTGTATGACGTGTAGCCACGCTTTACATTTTTGAAACGCTGATTTAAATAGACATTTGTAAAAAAATCAAAAGCCCACACAATCTTTACATGGAAACGCTTTCTTTTAGTACACAAATAACACACAAATTCAAAATAACTTAGAGAACAAGAAGAGAGAAACAATGACATAGAATTTTGTATTATACATTGCTGCAACTAATTTACTTCACATTGATGTGATCAGGCCATATTTTGCTTAATTGGATTTGGAAGCCATTCATTAATCGAGCTGATGGAAAGAAAGACATCTTGTCATCCTTGAGTTGCTTCCACCTAAAATAATCGAACAATACTCCTTGATTAACCCTTTCGCGACGCGCAAAATGAACACAAAATATCAAAACCTATTTTTGAATTTTTCTTACGAGCCTAACTTTAATTTTTCTAAGACAAAAAATTAACGCCAAAATGTAAATTACCTATACGTAGTGACAAAATAGTGAAGAAACATTGCAATTTGAAGTCGAGCCAGCTCAGCACCTGGACAAAATCGTGCACCTCCACCGAACGGAGCAAAAAATGGACTACTTCTCCAATTCCTCTTCTCCTTTAAGATGGAGAAATAAAAGATGCTTTAGAACACAGAGAAAGTGAAACAAATTTGTGTCTACGTGTTATTATGGTTAATCGTCTCGTCTAAAATATTAAGTTGTTCAAATAGATACGTGTTTTCATTTAAATTTTATTTTTAATATATTATATAAAAATAACAATTAGACTTGAGTCCATGTGTTTTGCTGAGACTAACCTGATTTTCTGGAATCATCCATCTCCAAGGATTAAAAGTGAGAGCATCCCCGTATATATTTTCATTCAAATGGACAGCCGAAAGAAAAGGAACTATAAAACATCCTTTGGGAATTACATAATCTGCAAAAACAATGTATATGGAAAAAAAATAATAATAATAAATACTGTGGAAATTATCTGGCTTCTTCCATAAAAGAAGCAAATACAAACGCAGTCTATAATTATCAACCTTGATATTCTATATCTTCTTTAGCTTCTCTCATCAACCAAATTGCAATGCCTCCCAGTCGAAGAGTTTCATCTATTACCTGTTGGAAGGATAAAGTAAAAATTTACCATGACAACTTGTGAGGTATCTTTAGATAACCGAATGCACAAGAAGCAAAGGAAAGAATTGGTCGTACGTGTTAGATATTTTTCATCATTTTGCATGTGTTTAATTTTTTGTTTTGCGAATGATTTGCCGCCCGAATTAGTGTTTGCCACTGCGCAACAGGGTTCGACCTACCCGGTCAAGTCGCGGGGGTCGAGGGGGCAGCGCCCCCTGTGGGGGGTCGGGGGCAACGCCCCCGAAAGAGAATTTTATTTTTCAAAAGTTTTGAATAGGTGCATCTATTCATTTTTTAACAGTCACTTCCAAGGGATACACCTATTCAAACAGTTGCCTCAGTGTCTATAAATTCTGGATGAATTCTCATTTGCAAACACATTAAAAACAATTTATTTTTCCTTCTTTCTCTTGGCATCAATCAGTTATATTCGAGTGTCTTCTTGGTTTGATCAAATAGTCACAATTTGAATCAAACGCCTCCATTGTATCCTGAGGGAGATTTTCTATTATACCCCGTTGTGACTTTGTTGAATAGAGGAGAAACATCTCTTAAAAGATAACGTTTCATTTCGTGCCTTGAAGTTCATTAACGTATTCAGATTTCTCTGCATTATTATCAACAGTACGAAGGTAAAATAAAGGGACATGCATTCTGGGCAGGTCGCAACAAGTTGCTAGTCGAAGGTTTAGACTTTAGTTTTAAAAGGGTCTTGAGTTTTGATAATTCTTGAATCGTAGTATGACCTTTTCAATTATCATTGTTTGAACATTGCTTAAACAGTTCAATGCATAAATAAGAAAATTTATGCCTTAGATTAAGAGGCTAAAATTATGCTGGAGAGACAAGACGAGAGCAGATGACATACACATTGAGTAAAAGACATAGCTTTATAATCTTGCCATTCGAGCATCTCTCCATCCAAGATACTCCTTTGGCTCCTTAGACTCTGTTGCTCATCCTATTCTCAAGTGCAGAAGGAAGTAAAAAAAAGTGCTGGAAGTCAGTGAAAGAAAAGGACGCCCTTTTCCCTGATCTTAATAGAAAGACTTATAAATTCAAAAAGAAAATCTGTCTGTACCAGCAATTGCTTCATGGCTCTGGGGCATTGAGTGAGGAAATAAACAGCAAAAAGCATGGTCTTAGCAGTCGTCTCGTTGCCAGCAAAAAGGAGGTTAATAATAAAGTCTGCAACAGCATCATCAGGTAAGCTTTCTTCCTCTAGTAGCCTTCTCAGTACACCATTGCCAATTGCTGGAGAGGATTGTTTTCGATGGATCTTTATTGAACTATTGATCTTGCTTATTATACTTTCACGTGCCTGTTATGTTAAATTAGGAACGGTACAATTCAGAATCTCAAATGGTCTAATGAGTTTAAATGTTATTTGGTAAATTAAGTTGTCACCTTCATTGCAGTGTGATAAGAGAATCCTGGCAAATTGATAGGAGCGGAAAGACAACCATCAACGAAATCAGAGAACAACTGAGCAATCTCGTTCACCTCTGATTCAGACGACACACCCAGCAGTTGATTAACCATCAAGTTAATGGCTATCTGAAGGTAAATGAAAATTAGAAATTCTCGATCATGTATACTGATTTAACGCTAAGAACATAGAATCAAAGTAGGCAGAAGTATACTATACAGGGGTCGAATAGAAATGAATAAACTCAGAATATGGTATTACCTTTCTACAGACATCTTGCAGTAGAATGACTTGTTTGTCGTGCAAATTATTGAAGAGTTCGCGCATAACTATTTGTATATCGTGCAAGAATTGGGACTTGAGCTTGTCTAACCGCATCAGGTTGGAGGCGATAGAATGAAGCTTCCTTTGATGCTCCCCTTGTACTGTGATCACCCCATTTTTCCCCACCAAGTCTCTGAAAGATTTTGGATAGCACGACTGGAATAGTTTGCCTTCATTTTGCATTACAAATCGATTAAACATTGGATCAGCTGATACCACCGCCTGTTTACCAAACAGACTGCACGAGAATATTTTTCCGAACCTGTTGACAATATTTCAACTCTTTTAAGGATATTTGTTTCTCTACATTGGTAAATTCTATGACTAAAACCACAAAGAAACAAAGAAGAACTTTGTAATTAAGTACCTTTCAACCTGTTTCTCGACGAAACTAGGCGGATGAGAACTTGCAACAGCATTGTACCAACTGATACTATCTCCAACAATCGGCCAACCTCTTCCTCCCGGAGGCAACTTACACTTCTCTCGAGTACTGCTACCATATTTCTTATATTTCACAAGAAAAACAATGAACAACAGGCTGCTGACAAGTAAAGGCCAGAAATTTACAAAAAGTTCTGCCATCTTCCATCCACCAAATCTGGAGAAAAACCAGCAAATATTGAGGAAGTAGACTTTCATAATCATTAGCTCAAATTGAATAGTGGAGTAAATGGCAAAAAAAGCTTCGTTGACTCAGAAAAATTCTGAAGATCTGTCATACCACGTCTAGAATGTGAAGTTATATCAATATATTATTATTTTTCAAGAGAGTTTCTATACCTTCCAACTTCAGTTTCTGACTATAAAATGGATGATTGCATTCTTTTCTGTTAGCTGCGATTCCTGTCCTTTTAGTTAAATCTTTACTCCATATTGTTTAATATGAAGCTGATCCTCTTTCTACATCTCCTGCACATTTACAATTATTTTCTTTGTTCCAATGATGACAAGTCGAAAGAACCGGCGCCACGAATAAAAACTTAAATAGTATAAGGTCAGTACCTTTTAAGATAAAACTCCAATTTAAAACGGCCAAGAAAATGGTAGATGATTTGAAATGCTTAACGAATTTAAGATGAGGGTTCAATTTATAGGAGAAGATAAGGTATGATCAGACTTACAAATTTGAAGCACTGCACAATCTTAACATCTATCGCCTAATAGTCACAAAATGTAACTTTTCTAAGGGTAAAATCCGAAGTCCGCAAGACCCGGTGAGTGTGCTTCAAGTTGAAGATTCTCATTTTATGAAAGTTAAAACCCAAGTTTGACCAAAATTATTTATATGCATACACACTTCTCAAGATTCAATACTAAATTGCCCGGCATAACTGGCATTTACTTTGACTATAGATTTTTTTTAAAGCTCGAGAATTAGACTTTCTGTTTATTAATCGAAGTAGGAAATAATATTTTGAAGAATATATATTATTAAAAAGTAGAGAAAAATTATATGTTATAATCTATAATTAAAAATATTTTTAAGAAAAAATAAATTTTAGCAACAAATCCTTGACATTTCCCATTGGTTCTATTAATAAATTGGAACAAATGAATTAGAATATGGTCTACTTTTCTCTTGCATGTAAATTTGACAAAATGGGTGTTATTAATGACGTAAAACGAAAATCCCTACATATGATTGAGTATGGTAGATCGATTGCGAAAGAAGGTAAATTTTGTTGTTTATTTTTCTTCCTTATATTAATAACACTTTTAACTTGTTTTTTGAATTAAGGGTAAACTTAATTATTTCGAACCTAAATACTATTAAATAATGAGTTAATTATGCAAGTCTTCCATTTTGAAAGGTCGAAGATTAAATCGCAATATACTATTAAACTTATCCATTTTAAATCGCAATATATATCACATATTGTGACCTCCAATGTAAAGCTCATTTTTTGGGGAACTAACTTTCAATCGTAAAACATCTTAGTGTATGTTTGATTCCAAACATGAAATTTACATAATTTACATGCAAAGAATATAAATTTCAGGCAATTGAATTGTTTAGAAATTATTTGCATAGAAATTGTCAACTAAACGAGTTTGATTAATTTTATTTTCAACCTAGAAAATGTTATAGTTGTCTATTTTTTATTTGTAGGTGAATAAAAGAAAGTGAATTACCTGAAAAATAAAAATCTGCTCTCTATAAAGAAAATATTTTCTTTATTTTCAAGAAAAATATGATCATGTGACTAAAGGTAGGAAAATATTTTGCATAGAAAAAATACCAATCAAACATAACAAAAGTAAGAATTTGGGTAGAAAAATTACAAATTTCATGAAAAATATTGGCAATCAAATGCAATCTTAATAAAATAATTTTATATGTGAACTTTTCAATATTTTTAAACGATATCTTCTTAAAAATATTTGTTTTATGTGTAAATTTATTTATTTTTTCTATTTTTTAACTATATAATCTTTAAAAAAATTACTATTTGTTATGAAAAAAGAAAAAAATCAATTGGTTTGTATATGTTTTATTAAGAAACTAAGAAAGAATTAGGGATACAACGGTAATAATTTCTATGGTTACGGGGGTATAATTGTTATTCACTAATAAACTTACTATTTACAACACTTCCTCTTGAATGACACGTTATAAAATATCTGTTTCGTTAAAATCGTGTTTGATAAAAACACAGTGAAACAAAAAAAAATCAAACAAAGGAGAAAAAGTACAATTATTTTGAAATATTAAAAATAAATGTTGTCTAATTAAAACTTTGTTAGGAAAATTCAGTGGGATAAAATCGAATCGAAGCAAAAAGAGTACAACTACTCTTCCTGATGGAAATCACCGATGATATTTGAGTTGACGCATTTCAATCTTATAAACCAATTTTTTAAATATAGATGTCGACAGCACTTTTGTAAATAAATCGGTCACATTGTCACTTGAAGAAATTTGTTGGATATCGATGTCACTATTCTTCTGAAGCTCATATATATGAAATAATTTTGGAGAAATAGCTTCGTCGTGTCACTTTTGATATAGCATCCTTTGAGTTGTGCAATAGAAGTTGTATTGTCTTCATACAAAATTGCTGGATTATCTTTTATTGAAGTTAACATGCATGATACTTGAATATAATGGGTTATGTTTCTCCATCATATACATTCTCATCCTACTTTATGGATTGGAATAATTTCACAATAATTAGAGGATACTGTTGTCAATGATTACTTTACAGATCCCCATGATATAATTATTCCTCCATGTGTAAACATTTATCTTGTTTGTGATTTAACTTTATGTGGATCACAGAGATAACATATATATGCATATCCCACTAAAGTGGAATCAGACTTTTGAGAATAAAATAATCCCAAATTAATAGTGCCCTTTAGGTAATGAAAAAATGTTTAACATTATTCTAATATCTTTGGGTTAGTGTGGAGCTATATCCTGTAAGGAAATTTACAGAAAAAATTTTGTCGAGTCGAGTTGAGTGCAATTTGCAAGATAAATTAATGCCTTAATTACACTAAGATATGGTACTTTAGGACCAAGCACATTTTCTTCATCTTCAAGTGGACGAAATATATTTTTGTTTACATCAAGTGAACGAATAATCATAGGTGATGCCAATGAATATACATTATTCATATAAAAATGTTTTAACACTTTTTCTCTATATATAGATTGATGGACAAATAATCCTTTTAGAAAATATTTAATCTACAATCCAAGACAAAATTTGATTTTTCCCAAATCCTTCATCTCAAATTTATTTTTCGAATAATCTACAGTTTTGTTGAATTCTTCGAGATTTCCAATTAAATTTAAATCATCAATATACACTGTCACAATTACAAATCCAATATTTAATTTTTTTATGAAAACACATGAACAGACATCGTCATTTTTATAATCTTCCTTCAACAAATATTCGTTAAGACGATTATACAACATGCGTTCAGATTGCTTTAATTCATATAATGATCTTTCCAATTTAATTGAGAACATGGTTCTCGGACATATATCATTTATTCTTGAAACTTTAGGTACTTTGGGGATATTCATAAATATGTCACTATCAAGCAAACTATATAAATGGACAATTATTATATCCATAAGGCACGTATCGAACTTTTGTGATACGATCAAATTAATTAAGAATTTAAATGTGATAATGTCCATTACGAGAGAATGTGTTTTCTCGTAATCAATTTCAGATATTTGTAAGAAATCTTGAATTGCGAGTCGGATTTTATATCCTATAATTACATTTTTTTCATTTTTTTGTATTGTATCCTATAAGGATTACATTTTTAGGTATTCAAATTACAGGTCCAAACACTTCGTTTCTTTAAAGAATTCAATTCCACCTGTATGGCTTCTTTTCATTTTAGTCCATCATTTCCATGTTGACATCTTCAATTGACTATGATATATGATCCTCATTTTGTATAATATCAAGAGCCACATAAAATGCGATAATGTTGTCTATAATAACATTATTTTATTCCCATAATTTATAAGAAAACATATAATTTACTGAAATCTCGTTCTTTTTTGACATCCGTGGTTCTTCGCAAACTATATTTTCAATATTTGAAAGATTAATCTTTTTTAATGTTTTTTTTCGAAGATTTTGGTTGATTTTTCTCTTGTGCTTTTCTTTTTTGAGGTACAAAACCTTTTGAACCAATTAGTTAACTATGCTTTTGGCATATTTGAGATTCATTCGTTATAATAGATTGTCCTACAGGGACATCAATATGATGTATGCACTCCTCATAATAAGATGCATTGCATCACGTGTAAAAATGTTGTTGACAACTTTTCTTTTCCCATGATGACATGATTTATTGAGATATCTCAAGTTTTGATATATCGTGTACCCGAAACTCTTATGTGATTTTATAATTTGTTATGTCAAAGTGTCATCAAGAGTATGTACCTCCTTAATGAGACCATCTCTGCTAATTATTCCATTTTCATTTGAAGATTTTTTGTATTAGAATCGAACACAATCACACTTCAGGCGTGCCATAGATATATCAAATATATATAATGATAACAAATTGTCCTCGTATGACATCAATTCTTGGTGGAGCTTTTAAAACTGGTGCGTGAGATATTATTTATCTCTTTGATCAGTAAATGCATCTACATAAATTATCTTTCAAACTTCTGGTTTGAATAATATTTTGCTAGGATTTAAATGAAGATGCATTTATGCATTTTTTCAACTTATTAATTCATTTCCCTAATATTGAGAGAATTGTCCAATAAATTTGACAATCGTTTTTTCAACGTTATAAAACGTCACCCACTTGGTGTAAGGGTTCAAACTATGCATTCATTCTCACTATTTTTTATTTTTTATTTCAGTGTAATGTGGTGGATTAATTGCATTAACAAATAATCTGATGAAGAAATTAGACGCTGGTCGTAAGTCAATTATAACGGAGAGAACTATGATATTGGCATGATGCATAATAATATTCCCTAAATAGAAATGTAAAGTACTCTATTCTCAATTAAATTAATTGGGGCGTTTAACAAATAATAGTGTTAAATCATTTATCAACATCTTAACTAACGCTTCTTAAGAAGTTGAAAACAAGGCACACTGTTTTGATTGTATAATCTGAAAATTATGCTTATAATTTGAGTAGTAACTTCGCAAACTTTAGGATGTGAACACTATGCAATCATTTAATATTTGTATCAAATCTATTATATACAAATAATGTTTTTCGATGTTATTTGTTCTCTCTCTCAAATTTTCATCCTCTTCCTCACTAACTCCCATGCAAAGGTATAGAGCAATTCCAGAACTCTATGATTGCTGTCATGCTTACTTTATATCACTAAGGTGGTTTCAACACTTTTGGCTTTTTCAAAAAAATGCAAGTATAATCTAACTAGATCGTCTTTTATTTTATACCTTTTCCTTGGCCTAAGGAAAGAGAGGTAAAGTTTTTCATCAAGACAGGAAAACAACCAGATGCACGGATCCAGGGCCAGCGTCCTTATTTTTTATGATTGAATTTTTTGGCTTTCACAAGAGGTATATAATTTGGCGCTTCTGCTATGCTGCATATACTGGAAGAAACGAAATAAGAAATGTTGCGTGGAAGATTGTCCAGTATC